GGACTTAAGGTTAGAAGCTAGAGATCAATCCACTGCTACCTGCTACCAAGGCCCAGTTTCTGTCCCTCTCTCTTGGCTACACTCTAGAGGCCAAGTACAAGATTAAGGAGACTGAATTGATTAAAAAGAATGAGGGTGACCCTGCAGTCTTGAAATCTTTGTGTTCTGGACCTTTCTTCTGTTTAAAGTAAATAATAATTTGATTGCATAAACCGAGGTGCCTATGTTTGTTCATTTTGATCATGGCAACCTGAAAATAGGACAAATAATTAATTTCCCTTGTCTGATGAGGAGGAATAAGTCAAGCAACAAGATCTAGATTTTGTCTATTTAGAGATAGGCACTTGAGAGCTATGTTGTTGAAAGAGATCCTTTAATAGCTACAGAAATATATAAAATGATTAAATCCATTCATGTGTTTATTTATTCAATTATACAGTGAATACTAATATATTCTACAGATATTTATGGAGTGACCATTAGTTGCTAGAAACTGCTTTGGACAAAAGGGGTGTTGTATACAAATGAAACCCCTGCTTTTATGATGTTGTGTTCTAGGAAGAGAAAGGTATTAGTCAAATATACACATAATATTAAATATGCACATACTATAATAATATTAAAGATATAATATACATATACTATAACATATATACATACATATACACAAATGTGTATGTATCTATATCTATATATTAGATATATATAAGCACTATAAGTCTTTAATATATAAAATTTAAAAACACAGAACTGAGAGTTTGAGTAGAAATACAGGCAGTTTCAAAAAATGAGAGTATGTTCTATAATGTAAATATAAAGTGGTAGTTTTAAGTGGATAGAGAACTATATGCCTCTATAATTTGGAACCATTAAGAATAATGCCTGGTGACACATAATGAACACAATAAGTTATTATTATAAGACAGACTATATCACAACCAGCATGCAGTGAGCAATCAATAAAAGCTTTTTGGGAAAAAAATAAAGTTACCCTAAACTTAATCAGGAAGAGAGAAGAGAGTGAAGTAGATGAAGAAGCAGTAAGGGTCTGCTAAGCTGAGGGAGCAGCAGGGCAAGACAATGCAGCATTACAGTGAGTGATGAGTTTAGGAACCTCAGTTGTTGGTTTGACTGAAGTATAGAGTTTGCTGCCTTAGGAAGAGAAGAGCACTGGGAGAATGAGAACACGACTCAAACATCCTCTTGTTCTGAGGTCAACATGATCAGGATAATGTTGAGGGGGCCTGAGAACATCAGTGTCTCCTAATCCCCTCCATCCTCCTATGAGACTGTACATTCTAGAAGTATTATTCTGCTTCAGGTACTGTACTAAGGGTTAGAGTGAATACATTATATTTGAAACCTCCTCTGAATGAGTTCATAATAATGGCAAGTAACATTTTTTGAGTAATTTCTGTTACACACATCTGTTTTAAGTGGTCTTCATGTATTAATCTGGTTAATTCTTTAAAACAACTCTAGAAACTATAATTCTCATCCTTTTTATACATCAAGACACTGAGGAACAAAGTGGTAAATCTTTTCATTATTATGTTTCTAATGCCAGGCATATTGTCTGACACCACATTTTCTTAGTTAATATTCTGAATGCATAAGTTAACAATGGACTGATGAATCATGTCAAAATCCACCTTCGCTGGGGCCAGGGCAGGGCATTCACAATCAGGTTGCTGTCTCACTGGTCATTGTATGAGATGAGTATTACACAATAGTTCTGAAACTTTCTGAGACACGATAATTGGCAGAAATTCTTGTTAAAAATTCTAATTTGTTAGATCTGGGAGAAGTCCATGACTTTTAATTTTTAATAGGGTACCCTTAGCATTTTGTTCTAAGGTGACACCTGGGCAAATTTTGAAGAGAAAAAAACAAAATTGCAGTACACTATGAGTGGATAATCATTACAGCTAGATATAAAACTGGTGGATAATGGTTATGGCTCAGCCTGTCAAAGAATGGAGGAGGTTAACAGTGAGTTCAATGACAATATAAGGAAATCCTTAGGTACATTCAAATCTGGCTACCCATTTAATGCAAGGCTTTCCAACCTTGGTACTATTGACAGTTTGAACCCTATAATTCTTTCTTGCGGGACAGCCATCATTTGCATTTGATAATCTGGACTGCCCCCACTAGATGCCAGTAGATTAGCCCACCCCCAAAGTGTGACAACTAAAAGTATCTTTTGATGTTGATACATGATGTCAAATTGCCTATAATTGGAACCCACTGCCACAGTGAAACAGAAGGAGCTTTCTCCAGGTCCTTCTTGGTAAGCAACTTCTGGCCTTCTAAAGATGGACAGTGTAAAGCACCAGAACTCTTTTCCTATGAGCATTCCTCTTTGAGACACTATGGTTTGTTTGGTGTGCACAGACTACCTGCTTAGCTTTTTGCAGAACTCATATGGCATCCTTCTTCCCCAACCCCCACACAGCTGGTTTATTAACTCAAATGAGATAGGCTGTCGAGGTCAAGACATGTATGATATACCAAATCATCATTCCTTCTTCGGGTTCCTGAGGGCTTAGATCCCTTTCACACCATTTGCAAGGAATTATAATTAACTATGATGGCAGAATAAGATCAGTTTCCCAGGAGACATATATTATAAAAAGGAAGAGAAATATCAAAGAGGGAGACATAAAAATAGTCTGATGAAAGGGCTTAAAAGAAAGGAATGAAATAAATTGGAAAATAGTTCACAAAATTGGCAAAAAAAACTAGATTTTCAAAAAAGCAGGGATTTTTCCAGTCCAAAAATTACTCCAGCTCTTTATCATTTACAACAACAATTTTTAACTGGTGTGCCACAAATGCTTTTTAAAATATGTAATACTTGACTATTTAGGCAGGAGCACTGACTTTTTTTCTCTTAGACTGTCAAAATAAAAAATGACAATAGCCAACACAACAATAGCCACCTGGTGTGAATGACTCAAAACGTATATCTATTTTTTGTCAGATCAGCAAAAATATATTTTTCATGTGCCACACAATTTAGTAATTAATTTATGTGTGTTGTGAGATGAAAAGATTCAATGTAACTGGTTTACAAAAATAAACAGGCAACATGGAACTACCCAAGGTGATATATCTTTCACCTTTCCTTTCCATCAGTCCCCCTTAACTGTTTTCAGTATCTTTCAGTTACATATGAAAACAATAAGGGTAAAATCTTCATATTTTTGGTGTGAGAACCATCAGCTACTATTGTATAACACTGTACAGAATCATATTCCCCATAATATATGAAAAAATCTTACCTAACTTTACCAAAATGCAAAGAGTAACTAGATAAGTATTTACTATTCGCTTCATACTTCTAGTGAATGAATTCCTAGTTCACTGGCTAATCAGATCAGTGAATTAATGTGTCCTTCCAATGAAACAGTTAAATAGTTATCCAAAGCACATTCTTAATTGAAACAGAAAAAATTAGAAAAGAAACTATCCAGATTTATATTGACATCAACTTTTAACTACATTTATTCACCTCAGAATCAATTATAATGGACCTTTATTGTTATATAAATTATTTGGAATTAGCTACCTTGACTAATATGCTTTGTGGAAGAGAATAATGCTACCTAATTAATGTTTAGTAGAAGAATAACAAGGAAGTCAATAACTATTTTCAGAGGAGACTAAAAAAGATGGAGAATCAATCAAAGAGCGGGAAGAAAAGCCCAACATTGTACCATCTGTTATCCTGGGCAAGAAAATACCTGTAACCTTGTTACCACCGTCCAGTCCCTGTAAGTGATTTCAGAAGGTAGGAGAGCAACAGTTACCTTACCTTCTTGCACAAACACTATTACTTCTGCCTTGAACAGTTTGCAAGGAGACAAATGCTCTCAGTTAACTATGTGGTAAATTGCAGTTCACCCTTGAATCTGGCCCATTACACGTGGTTGCGGGTGATTAATGAGAACCCTGAAGACCCCAACCCTAGGCGTCATTGGTGGGAAGCAGGGATTTGGGAAGGCATAAAGGTAGAAGATGGCTCGGCAGAGCTAGCCTGTTTCCACCACCATCACTGTCTTCGCCTGCACAGTTGTTCAAGCTGCCAGAGGCTTTCTGGTTGCCATGGCAACTGTTGAGCTCTGCTGCAAACTCAAAGCAGAGCCTCCGAAGTTAGGTACCAAACAGTGGAGCTCAACAAATGCACAGGCAGTTGGGGAGGGAGAACAGAACAGGAATTACCAGTGTGCTAGGTCTACAACTCCTATGGCTCATAAGGCGTTTTTCAAATTGGATTTTTATTGTTTTGTGAAATGAGATAGTTCTTGCCTGGCATTATTCTTTAGTATCATCTTCTGGTACTCGGAGAGAGGAGACTGCAAATCATCTCACCCATAAAGACAGGGAAAGGGAGTTCGGAAACCCGATTATAGGAATGCACCGAGCACGCCCAATTCATTCATTCGGTTATATATTCACCATCTATCTTCCAAGCACCATTTTTCCCGGCGTTGTGCCAGGTTCCGGGGCTGCAAAGAGAAGTGAGACACCTCCTCACACTCAAAACGAATGATAATTAACAAAAATTAACAGAACCTTCGTGAGCCTGGGGAAAACCAATTAGGTACTGCAATCTTCCCACGAGTCTCTGAAGACGAATTCAGAATCCAAACGCGGGAGAGGAAGGAGACAGTGGCCCCCAAATAGAGTAGGGCAGCAGGGGAGGGCAGGAGAAAGAGGGAGACCTCTTTTCCCTGGGGAGGGAATCTGTCAAGGCCACTCAAACGTTTCCCAAAGGCTGCAAGGGAGAAGACGTTTGTTTTTCTTTCAGAAAGACCGAGAGCCCTTTTCCCTACTGGGCTTGATTTCTAGTAGGGGGAGACCCGCCCCTTGGGGCCATTGATTGGCCCGTATGTTTTTTCCGAGAATTTATGCCAGCATCCTCCCGGTCCGATTGGCTCCCCTGATCAATTCCGCGGGGAGTCGCATCCCACCTGGGCGGGAGGTGTATCGCCTTCCCACACTCTCTGGTACTCACACACCGGGCTGCGGCTGCGGCTGAGGTGGGAGAAAAAGTCCTGGCTTGGAGACTTGAGCAGTAAAAGCGATCCCGATGGGTCCTCGGAAAGCTTTTCGCTTCTCCCCTTTTCTCCTGTGGAGTCAAAGTAGAGGGGTGCGGCTGGTGTTCTTGTTACTCACCCTGCACCTGGGAAACTGGTGAGTGAATGCACGGACTTGAAACTACTCTTTGGTATCTGCCCCCTCCCCTTCGTTTCTCTTTCCTTCAAAAATCATTCTAAGTTAAGCAATTTACATTTTCCCAGGTTCACCTGTGATATTTTGCAATCATCTTCTTTTCTGATTAAGTTTACCCATTTTCAGATAGAAAGCAATGAACCTATGTGTGAAGCATGGAGGTTATTTCGGTTGTTTTTGACTTGAAACACAGTCAAAACTAGTCCAGGCTCAGTTACTGGGAAAGAAGAGTAGAAACGGTTTTGATACTAAATTTAGTAGATGAATGTCATTGATGGACTTCCTGATGATTCTTCATTTTAAAGAAAAAGTTATTTTAGAAACTAACAAGTTTCATAGCATGGTATGTATGATGCTTTTCTAATGCTAATGTTGTTTTCCTTAACCCTCCCCCTTCTTCTTTTTTTTTTTTTGCTATTCTGGAAAAAAAAGTTCACATCAAAAAAATTATAAATATAGCTAAAATCTATCAGGATCATATGTTATATTTATGTTAAAAATAACAATGTATTTTATTAAGCCAAATTTCAGTGATTTTTATTTTCATTGGTTGTCTACAATAAAATAAAAATTGATAAAAATTGTATGGTGATATAAATATTGTCCTGGCTCTGTGTGTGTGTGCATATTTGTGTGTGTGAGAAAGAGAGAGAGAGAGAGAGAGGTTACCAATCCCAAGCCTCCAACTCCAAACCCCCAATTTAACAGGAACAAGACTTGGCCTGCTTGGGTTGTAGTGCCTTTCAATAAAACTTTTAAATCACGTTAAAAAAATAAGTTGCATAGGTATTGCATCTGGCTACAGGAGTTGCTCATGAACAAAGTTAAAATATGTTAATTAAGACATAGACACTGTAAAGGTCTTGGACATACTACTAATATTGTATAATGTGTTTTATTAAAAATACATTTAAAATTATATTATTGTATGATGTGTTTCTGCTTAGAATTTAAGAGTAAAATGCAACTGATATGCAGATGGAAGCATACCTTTATAACTACTTGCATCATTATAAAAATGAGTTATTATTATGATTCATTTTAGTATATATCAAGAGTGAATATTGTTGTCAATACCAGCAGATAAAACAACTATATTTTCTCTTGGAAAATGGAGAGTGGAGTGAAGTTTGCTAAGTAATATTAGAAATGACAGAAAATGTTTGACACCTAATGCTTTTTTAAGTATTAGAGTTTTAGTTTATTTACCTTTTTTCTATAGAAACTTAAATGTTCTGGGCACAAACATACTACTTGGTTAATTATATATAAGTTGTGTCATAATGGCTTATATTACATATAAGTTGTGTCAAAATGGCTTATTTCTTTGACTATATTATGAAAAAATTATAGGACAAATTTTGAAAAAAAATATGTATCAGTGTTCTCATGCATTTTCATAATATTAGAAATGAATCAGTGTTCTCATAAATAAAAGCAGATTTACCCAGTGGTTTTCTGAGATAACCTGTATTCTCTTTTATTATTATAAATGTAAGTTTCCTTTGCAAGCTAATAGACAAGCTGCTTACTAAAGGGCACAGAGAGTTGTTTCGTTTTAAACAGTATCTTTTGTTTTTGACAATACTTACATTATGATTGTCACAACTGGTTCGAGAAAGCTCTTCAAGCTGCTCAGAATTTAAAAAGTTGTCTGTTGTGGTGGACAGAGGTGGGTTCTGGCAGTCTGAAGATGATTTTATGTGTCAAGAGTCCTAACCTCGGAGAGTTTCTTTATCATGGAAATTAAAGACAGTAGTAGGTCATTAATGAGCCCTTCAACTTTTCACATGCAGTATGTCCAAGATCTGAACTGAAACAGCAAATAACTCAACAATTGTTTCAGTGACTTTTCTTAGTAGTTTTCAAGAGGGAAATTCTAATTGGAAATTCCATGTACATTCTGTAGCATTTGTATGAAGAAGTGAGACAGAGGAGGTGTGCAGTTCAAATCGATAAGTATTCATTTTATTGTAGTGCTATAGACCATCTGCATTATTCTAGACAGTGGATAAAGACCTAAACAATAAAGCTAGATGTTGTAATTACAATGAACTCTTAGGTCCTCAATTATGAGAATGTGTATCTTAACTTTTTGAAGGTAGTTACAGTATGTTGGTGAACTTTTTTTTAATATTTAGTGGAGATGATTGATGTAAACATATAAATCAGCTACATTTATACTTCTTTCTTCCCTCCTTCTTCTTTTGAGGAACCTTTCCCAAACTAACTGTAGATGGTTCTGTTTATAAGAATTGTGTTGTCTTATGCTGGTTTCTAAAGTAAATAATCAAAGTCATCTATTTTGAGATTTATCAAATTGGAAACTCTTATTTCTTACATCTCAGCAGAGACAAGAGCTTGTTTCCTCATTAGTTTCCATCAAGAGCACAAAGGAGAGACAGAATATTGATTTTTATGTTGCTGGACTATGAAGACTGATCTCATTGTTATAACTGAAGCTGTAGTCATGGCTTCTGTGTTTCATTCTCCTCAAGGCTCTATGGCATCTTGACAAGTTACTTAAAATCTCTTAAGCTTGATTTGACTAATTTGTAATGTTGGGGAAAAAATGAATTGTAATCAATTTTTTTAAAGAGTTGAAAATTGTTTTGGTATTTTAGCTGTTCTAAAAAAGTGATTTATGATAAGTTTTGGCTAAGAAGATATATTTCGAAAGAGATCAAGAAAAGTCATTTGTTTTGATTTTTAAAAACAATTTCATGAATTGGTAACTACAGCATTCAATTGTCCAAATAAAAATATCCAAATACACTTGTTTTATAAAGTATATAATGTAAAGCAATTTCAGTAATATATTTTGCTGAGGCAGTTGTGAATGAATGGTTTTTACTTTAGTCATCTAGACTTTTTCTTAATTTTCTAATGTATACTGATGATTACCATGCAAACTTGAGGACAAAATAGCTAAATATGATGTTCCATGATAATTAAATATTGAAAAAAACAGACAAAATGATTTTAAAGGTAAAATTCAAGTGCTATAATTCACAAATCCCTTGTGTATATAGTCTTTTAAGTATACCTGTATTAAAATTTTATAATTTACTTTGAGGAACATGCTTTTGACTAAACAATGAAAGAAAATGTTTGACATTTAATTCAAACATTAAATAGACAAATTTAATATTGTATATTTATATTAAGATGGTTGAAATGTGGCTAAGAAAATAACAAAGATATAGTCCCAAAGGAGAGGAGACATAACAGGGTACAAAACTGAACAAATTACTCAATATTATCAAAATATGATAAATCACTGCTGCGGGGTAATGGGGACAAGTGAGTACAAATTGAATATATTGACATCAGGAGATAATTTACATATATGAATGGTACCAGTAGAGAATCCCAGACTTCATAATCTGTTGTAAATTCTGGTTTCAGCTCTACCATTTCCTACCAGGCTGATTTCAGGAAAGTTTTTGAGGCAGAGAGTTCTTATTTGTGAAAAATAAAAATAATATGTATCTTTCCATATTATTTCAAGATCAAGACTAAACATTTATGGAAAAAACATAGCACTGAAACTTATAGCTAAAAAGACATAATAACAAATAGTCTGTGGAATTACCTTGATTCTAGAATTATTTATCCTCTTTACAGTGGTTTTAAGTGCAATAAAGCAAAGTCATTGGGTTCTTGTGCATTAATATCTGTTGGATTTGAGATGGATTATTCTTTTACAACAAACATTTATTGAGTGCCTTCAAATGCTAGGTTTGTGGTGTTGAATGGTCTAGATGTGACTACTATATACATGGAGCTTAACTCACTGCAAAGACCTAAACTTATGGTAATCAAAATGAAGCATCTTATAGTTAAAATAAGGACATATATCTTTAGGACCTCAAGGATAAACAGGAGAATCTAAAGTTTTAAGGATAGGGGAGCTGATGGAATAGATCCCAGTCAAGGAAAGAGAAGTATAGAGTATTGAGATTTCTCACAGCACTACCAGAAGACTATGGGCAAAATGTCTCCCAAATTCTAAAATCAAATGTCCAGCCTAGAAGTTATACCTAGCAAATTTACCAAGCAAATATAACGGGAGAATCAAACCTAAATACTATTATCCTCCCCATGTTACAACTGGGAAGACTGGAGCATCATGATTTTTAGGAACTTACTAAAGATCATCTTGCTGAATCCGACACCCGAATCCATAGTTCTAGGCCCAGAGTGTGCATTCTAAACCACCACACCTGTGAGGTTACAAGTGTAAGCCAGACCGAATAACATGACTATGGGTGAAGGAAACAACAAGCAAGGAAGGAGAGACAGAAGAGAAAGGGATGGGAGGGGAGTGCAATTGATAGAAGGACAGTAAGTATAAAAATCTATTGTGTATCTTTCACATAATCTGAAATATCATGTACAGTACAATAATTGTTTTGGTAAAAACTAACAAACTGGCATACTTGATCTCTAAAAATCACCATAAGATAAAGCATTAAAAGGAAGAATTTTGGGATTTAAGTATGTTTTATTGAGGAATCAAATGGCTATTTATTTTTAAGGATACTATATAAAATCATAGTTGAATTTGTTATGTCCACATAAAAGAGATGAACCAGAACCAATTAGCAAAAACTATGTGAAGGGATTTTTCTTTTAATACAAATGCTCTGTAATAAAATGAAGGATGCCTTATCACCAGGCTTATTCAAGCAGAAGCTTGTTCTTGTGCTCTGTGGGATGCAAATGACAATTCATGGTATTTTCTTACTTTTACATACCCCAGAATCTAATTCTGTTAGTACTCAACTAGTTCATCCAGCTGAAGCCCCATGTTTCAGGAAATACAGTTATTAATTCATTCAGTAAACATTTATTGAGCATCAGCATTCATTTAGTGGCTACTATGTGTTAAGTAGACATCTGAGCCCTGGAGAAATAGTGGTAAGCAAGATGAAATGCTTGCCGTGATAGTGTCTGTG